TTGACTACCTAGGAGGGACAACGAAGCACGCGCGCAGGTTGGTTTGTTTTGGAGACACGCTTTTAGGTTAGGTCTGACACTGAAGCCCCGGTCTTGACGTGCTTTGGCTGAGTTTGAACCCACCATGTTGGAGCTATTGTGTTGTCAGGAATTTGCTTCGGTCTCTCCATCAGATCTTAAATTTGTTGCAACAAACAGCCAGATTTTTGACAAGTTTAAAGTTTTCAACAAACTAATTCTTCATTATTGGTTTTTCTTATTTGTTCTTATGCCGTGCAGCGAGCTTATCGAAAGTCAATAAACCATTGATTAAATGGTTTACGAAAGAAGAACTTGAGCGTGTGTGAGTACGAGGAACCATGAATTGGGAACCCTGAGTGATTAACTGATGATTCTTGTGATAGCCTTATCTTCGTGCACCACGCATCCACACTGAATATCAAAAGATCAGACCTCTCGCCGCTCCGTAGGCGAAACAAAATATAACTGCTTAGATTAGGGTTTTTCTGTGAGTTCTGGACCGGAAGTAAGAAGAACAAAAGTAAGCCCTAAAACGGAAACTGCTCGGGCAGGTTATTTCAAGGGAAACTTACACCAACATTCATGTTGTTTCCCCTTCGGAACTAGCTTAGTATTATCTCCACACGGCTTAGTAAGAAATTCCGAGTGTACGGAGAATACTGTAAGTCCTACGGTGAATTCTTTAAGTCCTACGGAGAATACTGCGAGTCCTACTGAGAAGACCGATAAGAGGCTATGCTGAGAGTGCTGGGTGTTGGGTACGGAGAATCCCGGCAGCAAATCAACTGACTTGTCCGTACCATTTTGCAGGGGTGTTCCTCGCCGTCGCTGCAGGGCGCCCACACTCACCGCGATGGAGTTCGAGTGCCTGTCGGACGACGTGCTGCTGCACATCTTCTCCTTCCTGGAGGACGGCCTGTTCCTGCTGGACGTGGTGCCGCTGGTGTGCAAGCGCTGGCACCGCCTGGCCCGCGAGCCGGACGCGTGGCGCGGCGTGGAGGTCAAGGAGGAGGACCTGTACAACTACGACGACCACGACATGGCGCGGCTGGTGCTGCACGCGCCGTTCCTCCGCCACGCCATCCGGTACTCGTTCCCGGAGGGCTCGGCCGCGAGCGAGGCCCTGCGCCGCAGCGGTGTCGTGGCGCGAGAGTTCCACTGCTGCTGCGTCGGCATGGACCACGACTTCCGCGACGACCGCACCGCCGTGCTGGACCTCCTGTACCGCAGCCGCCACTACTGCCGACGCGTCTCCGTGTCAGTGACCGGCCCCGGCGGCGAGGACACCTCGGACAGCCAGGGGCGCTCCGCTCTGCAGGTCCTCGCCTCGCTCCGCGCGCTGGAGGACCTCGACCTCTACAACTGCAGGCAAGTGTGCTTGGCGTTCGCAGTGGTCGAACCAACACACATTCTGAAAAGCCTACCCAGCATTCGCTTCATAACCACGAAGAAAATGATGGCATTGTAGAATTGCCTCCTGACATGGAGAAATGCTTCGTGTTACGAAGGATTTCGCTTCGTAATACGAAGCATTTCTTCGCAGATTTTACAAATGCATTCATTTTCTCTTGTAGAGTGTTTACTGTGTGCTTATAGACTTTTAGTGCACTGACTGGAGTCTTCGACTGCCCATTCAGCAATGGGATGTTCCCCTACGCCGGCGAGCTGGCCGCCGGTCTGCCGCGGCTCCGCTACCTGGGCTTCTTCATGGACGTATTCCCGGAGGCCCTCATGGCGGACCTGATCCGCGGCTCGTCGGCCACGCTGCGCGCCCTGGTGCTCTTCGGCATCGAGTCCCTGGCGCCCTCGGTGGAGGAGAGCCTGTCGCGCTGCACGGAGCTGGCGGACCTGCGCATCTGGGAGGGCTGCCTGTCGCAAGTGTGCCGGTGCTGGCTGCCGTCGCTGCGCCGCCTGTCCGTCACCTTCACCGTGGACGGCGAGGACGACGACGACGCCCTGGACAACGCGGCGCTCTTCGGCAGCATCCTGGACCGGTGCACCCGCCTCCCCGACTCGCTCCGGAAGATCACCGTCAAGGCCCTCGGCAACACCGGCAACGGGCGCCTCTTCCGCGAGAAGTGCGAACGGCTCGTGTCCTCCTTCCAGAGGCGGAGGCCTCGCGTGGCCGTGTGCGTGCCGTGAGGTCGGAGCGGAGTCGTTCTCACCGCGCACAGCGCGTCGGGGAAAGATGAGGAGCCGAGTCGGAACAAAAAACGGAAAGAGCACGCTCAGAACCGTCAAATGGGGAAACTGGGGCAACTTGAGACGCGCGTGAAACGACGTGTTTGGTCACAAAGAAGGCTGCATGGAAAACCAATGCTCTTTACGCACTGAAAATCTATCGGCGTGACTTCGTGCCGCTGCAGGGGCGTGAATTAAGTGTCACGCCATTTAACGGCATGACAGAAAAGTCACGCCAAAAGTCGGTGTGACTGAAAAATTCACGCCAATTTTTGGCGTGAATATCTTGTCATGCCGCTTTTTGGCGTGATTTGTCTCATAAAACGCGTTGTCATTCACGCCAAATGAGGGCGTGACTCACGTGTCACGCCGTTTTTCGGCGTGAATTTCGTGTCACGCCAATTTTTGGCGTGACTTTTTGTCACGCCATAATTTGGCCATGTGTCCGACCATTACGTTTTCAGTGCGTTTTTATACTAGTATTTTTATATTTGCGGTTGAACAACTTTAACTAGAATTAGATTGGGATCAAGTGTCTGAAGTTCTTCTTTGATTGTCACTGTACTTTCGTCCAGAAGCACCTCGCAAATAATCCCATCGTGCTAGACGTGAGAAATGAAAAAAACAAAAAACAAATAGCGCTTTGGGCAACCAAAATTATCTCAAGCAATGTCTTGCTTTTGAGGTTAAAGCGGCAGCGCCGCGCTTTGAAGGCCTTGGTGCGGGAAAAGACAATGAAAGAAAAATTCCAAAGTCGAGGGCACACCGCCCGCCAGAGCGCCAACTTGTAAAGCTGTCCAACTTTTCATTCAGTTATTTCACAATACGAAATCCACTCCTGCGGAGCGAGGCCGCTTTCTCGTCAACAGCTGATTGAGTTAAGGGGAAATAAATTAGTTGAGTGTCTCCGGTGCGCGAGGGGTCGGCGGAGCACCGCCTCTCACTCTTTCTGCCCGGCCACGCCCAAGCCACGCCGCGCTTCAGCGGGCCCTGCTTGTACACGGCCTTGGTGTGAAACTAGTTCATATTGAAATTGAAGTTGAAACGCGAATTGTATAAAGGAGGGCGCGCGGGGGTGAAGATGCGTGTTGCCAGGGCTCGCGCTGAAAATGCGTAACCGAATTTCAGGTTCGCTCGAAACCTTCTTCGCCCAGCCGTCCCTTTGAACCTGGTTACGATCTGAAGTGGGGCAACGCTACGCCGTGGTGACGTCACCTACGAACAGAATGGGTCCCGCCGTTTCGTTGCGTCGGCTGGAGAGAAGACAGTCGGTCTCTGACAAGAGACAGACAGAAAAACTGCAGAGGAAAACTAGGCGAACAAGGGAAAATAGTTATGCCGCGCGGCGGTCCGCAGACGGGCCTGCGTCTGACGCGGCGCGCACACCAGAACCCTCGAAAGTGAAGCCAAGACCGCGAAAAAGTTTACCAATTACCGCAGGACGTCTTCGGAAGAGTGTTTCCGCAAATCAGTTCCCGACTTTGGATCCGCCGGTCGGTCCCCTTTGTCGTGACCCCTACAAGTTTTTCCCAGTGTACGCCGCGTCAATGCCTTTCCGGGAAGTAAAGGCAGCCTGTCTGCGGCGGGGCCGAGGCGTTGTAACTACGGAACTTTACTGCTCCGCCTGTATGTGGGGCAAGCCGTGATGCGGAAATGTATTAGGCGAAGTTCATCTTTGAGGATAGCATTGGGACCGACGTATAGGTGTTTGGAGTCCTTCCTCCCTCCAGGGTTTGCATTGTGGCTGGCACACTGTGCACGCCCTGCGTCGCCCTCATCCCTGCGTGCCCTGGCACTGCCCTGGCACAGCCTGCCTCGGTAGTTTGAGCCTATCTATATGCAAAGGCCGCCCCGGGTCTATGGCAGCACTGAGGAATGCGCGCCGCTTGACGTACGCCGCCATTTTGTCCTCTTTCGTCGACCTTGAACTTTCCACCCGATGCGAGCGGTTACGTTCTGAGTCTCTGCTATTTTACATTTGCATGATCCTGACGTTCGTCTGTCCTTTTTGTCATTGTTGTCGCCCGCCGAGCGAAACAAGACAGCAGCGTCTCTCGGCTCCGAGGCAGACGCAAGTTCGAGACATAAGTCAGTGCGGATGAACGAAGTTTCGCGCTAAATAATTGTGCCTCTGATGGCTTTCTACAATTTATCACCGCCACTGATGCATTGGCTACGGGCAAGTTTCTTGTTTGAACGGGCGGGTGTGTCATGACACTGTGTCACCTTTGGGAAGTTTTGGGTGAGACTGCCAACGAAGCAATTCCCTGAAATTTCCTTCAAAATTATCTGTGTACGTCGTATCAAATGTTTTTTTTTTCTTTTTTTCAAAACATTGCTTATGTGAAATCTGAACAATAAACCTTTGCGATGAAAACCACAAGTATAACTTTTTGTTGCACAGAGTGTAACGAAGCTGCAACAGATTGTTCCAGGTGAGCAAAAACGGGTTGTCTCCGTTTTTGGCGCAAGGGACTACCAAAGCTAATTCCTTCCTTCCCGTGCAGTCGTCCCTATGTTTCCGCTTCCTGCCTGAAAGATGGCGCCAAGATTCTCGTGACGTAAGAGGCCCGGTCCTCTAAGCCTGCGCAAACAAGCAGCGTGTGTCTGAGGTGCACCGCGGGGCCGGATTTGGCAGCGCAACGTTCCCCTACCTGGCAAAGACGCATATATCAAAACTCTTTTCCGTTTCCGTTTCGCGAAAAAAAAAATTCTACTTTCTACCTTTAGAAATTTATTCTACATTCTGAACTGCCCAAATTTCAGCAAATTTTAAACACAGAGACGAGTTAACGTTAAAAATGTAGGTAAAAAGCCATACTTTGTCCCTGTAAGAAATCCAAAGGTGCTTTTCCCCTCCGTAAGGCCGCCCCTGGATCCGCCGCTCAAAAGTAGACGTCCTTCGCGTTTGGCGCAAATAACCGTCGTGCCCCTTCGTCACTTTCAATCCTTATTTCCCACTTATTTTCCTCTCCTCCCTGCTCCGATCTTCTCTTTCCTCTGCGACCCCAAAACCACCTCCTTCCGCCACGAATTCCGGCAAATTGAAAGAAATTGCTCGGGCCGGGCCGTCCTAGGCCTGCTGTGCGCCTCGGTACGTCGCTGTTTACTTGTGCCCCCCCCCCTCCCACTTTGCACGAATGCGACCAACAGACCCGACGGATGCGGCTTGGCTCTGCCATCGCTCACGACTTGGCTCTGTGGTGCGGAGCGTCTTCGAGTCCTGCAGTTTCGGACGAGAGAGGAAAAAAAGATGGAAATTTGTCTCTCCAGCGCCGTCTTTCCGAGGAACCGAATTTATTTACTTTTCGCATCCACTCGCGGAGGACGAATTCGCACAACGGAGCAGTGCACATTGGGCCAGAAGACCGGCGCAGGCGGCCACTACTTTAGTCACGTTTTGAGCTCCACAGCCGCTAAACAGGGCTCCAACCCGACCAATGGATTGCCCTTCGAACGGTGAATCCGTAGGTGGGGTCGACAAAGCTCCACCAAAGAAAAACCTTGAATAAACAACTGTGTATCATGCTGTGCGTAAGCAGTCTTCCATACAGAACAGGCGGATAAGATAAAAAAGAGAACAAAATTCAAAGCGCGGCTGATTTTATCTCACTACCCTTACTCCCGATGATGGGTCGTAAAACTTAATACTGTCTGCTGGAGGCGAGGTGCGTCGTACGATCCAGAACATCGCGTGGAGGTTCAAAAAGACTCCCCCCTCTTTGGGGGTGTTTGTTTTTGTTGTGCTTTTTTCTTGAAGATGGTGCCAGCGGTAAAACGCAACAATTTATATTCCAGTGCTCGTAACTTGTGGCTACTTAGACCGAGCGCTAACCTCTCAGCGGGCCCTCGTCTTGAAAAGGAAGCAGAAAAGACAGGAGTGAAAAAGAACGTGCTTTCTTCTCTGCATTTTTCGTTGGGCACGTCCCTGTACTCACAGGTGATTTTCAGAGTTTCTGTCAGGCGCTGACACTGTGCAAGAATAACACAGTAAGGTATCAAAACGCAGCTTCCGTGGGTTTTTCCTTTCTTGCGGCACACTTTTTCATGATCAATAAACATAGCAAAAAAGAAGGCTGGACCTTTTTTGCAAAAACAAAGGGAAAAATAAGTATCAGTTCAACTGTCATGACAGACATTCCTAGTAAACGGTACATAGAATTCGTTAGAAACCGACTCACGTTGAAATATCAAGATCCCCTGACCTCGGAAGTAAAGAGTTGCGTCTCCATTCTGTACCAGTGGAAAATACCAATTAAGGAGAATTAAGGTAAGGAGAGAATTTTGCTGGGAGGAAGAGACGAAAATGGGAAAGGGAACGAAGAAGAAAAAGAGCGATGTGTGCGTAGGGATTTGGACCCCGCCTCAGCCTGCCCCTTTTCCCGCGCTGCCAGCCCCGCCTCGCCCCGCCCCGCCCCGCCCCGCCTGGCCATCCCTGGAGCCTTGAGCCGCTCCGGGCTCAGCGGCGCGGAGCGTGCCGAGTCGTTTATGACCTCTTAAATCTGCGCCGGACAAATTTCCAGCTGTCGAAGCGCCACGTGACGTCGCCTCACGCACGCCGCGACTTGGCAAAAAAGAAACCGAAACTGCATTGCGTGTGCCTGTTTCGGTTTTGTATGTTCTCGGTAGAAATCCATCCAAAAACTGAGGCGTGTAACATAGCGCTTAAGCCTACACAAGAGACCATTCACTCCTTTCCCCAGGCGGGCATTACCATGAAGCTTACTTGAAGAAAGACGCAAGGTCTTCAAGTGTAAATGCATGCTTGAATGAAGCGTAGAACTACTCTTTAGTTATGCCAGTGCACAGTGCGTCAGGCGTCTGACTCCACCAATGGATCCCTCGTTCGGAGACAAATCCATTTGTCTGGTCACGCGTTAGGATCGGGTCCCATTAAGCAAGTCTGGAGGTCAAATCCCGTGTGGGATTTCGACCGCCTCCTCCGGTCTTCTGGCCCACTGTGGAGTGCCGAGCGGGGTTGAATGCACGCACCGCGGGGTCAGCAAGGGCTCGAACTGCGGGAATGCGAGCCGCGAAAAAAATGGGCAGTGAGGAGTGATGGCTGTGTGGATGAGGGGTTGAGGGGCGGGGCACAGCCATGGCACAGCCATGGCACAGCCAGGGGCTTAGAAAGGCTTAGGCCCGAATAAAAACCTGGTCCACTGGGCCACAGCCTTCTCTCGCCGTGTCGTGGCCTTCTGCCGGCCCTCCCCCTCCCCTTCTACCCCCTCTACCCCCTGCCCTTCCCCCCCCTTTCCCCTTTCCTTCTTCA